ACTTAGGTCTTACAGTTATGTTCTATCAAAATCAAGCCATCACTTACTTCGTGGCCCGAGTATGCAGGTCGAACCAGCTGAACAAATGGACTGCAGAGGCACGACATGCTCTCCCACCCACCCCTCTCTTCTATTTCTAGGAGAAGCTGGAGACTGGAAGATGGGGGGGTCTAACCTAGGGCTGCTACCCCTCCCCCACCAATGTCTGACATGGTCCACGTTTCCGGGACGTCAACTTGCCTGAACTCACATCACAGCCTCCCAGAACACTAAAGGTTAATTTCAAAACAGAAATATACTAAGAAAGTTTTTGGAAATCTCAGAAGCACTTACACTAAATATTCCAAGCATAAATTGGGTAAGAAACCAATAACCTACAAGAACAAATTACTCAGCCGGCATTCATTTATAATACAGCGCGCTCCTCATAAGATGCTTTGTACCTATGGACTGAACAGATTTTGCTTACGTGGCTCTAGGAACGCAGCCAGAAAGTAAAAATTCACTCGTTAACTCAACAGTAATTTTCCCATTCTTACTGATGCAAGGGAAGTATTTTAAGAACTAAAAAATTATAAATTTTTAGTAAAATTCATAATTTATAAAAAATTATAAATCAAGAGCTAAGATTTAATAAGCATACTGGACGCCATGCTGCATGCTTGAGACATCTCACTGAATATTCCTGATACCCTCAGAGGAGTTTCTATCTTACATGTGGGGAAAATGAGGCTCAGAGAGGTTAAGGAACTTGTTCCAGATCTCACAGCTAGTATGTGGCTCAAAGCTCAGCTGACGCCTGACCTCTGTCCTCTCTGCCTGATTCTAATCCAAATCTAGGCCTTTTCCCCAAACTGTGTCAGAGGCTCTTGGTAAAGCCAAGTATCTCATAGAAGATAACGATTTAGAATCAAGCACTGGGAGATTAGGGAGTGGAGAGGAGGAGGACAATAACCCCAAACCACTTGTCATTTGGTAGGCAAACAGGATTTTAAAAATAAGCTTTTAAATACTTTCATGAATTCTACCATGATCGATGCAAACAGTTACTGTTTTTATAGACTGCTTTCTTCCCCTTTTTAGTTTTCAGATATGCTTAAAAATTTAGACGGAGATGCCAAGCTTAAGTCTTAGAAGACTCAAAAGCTAGAATTCCAATCCCCCTCCCCCCAACCTGGAACTTGATGAAGAATACTTAAACGTGGGCGCCTGGGTGGCTCAGTGGGTTGAGCCGCTGTCTTCAGCTCAGGTCATGATCTCAGGGTCCTGGGATCGAGTCCCGCATCGGGCTCTCTGCTCAGCGGGGAGCCTGCTTCCCTTCCTCTCTCTCTGCCTGCCTCTGTCTACTTGTGATCTCTCTCTGTCAAATAAATAAATAAAATCTTAAAAAAAAAAAAAAAATACTTAAACGTGTAGTTTTACCACTTTTCAGAAGGTACCATTTTCAGCAATTTCTTTTTCTTTTTTTTTTTTTTTTAAAGATTTTATTCATTTATCTGACAGACAGAGATCACAAGTAGGCAGAGAGAGAGGAGGAAGCAGGCTCTCCGCCGAGCAGAGAGCCCGATGCGGGGCTCGATCCCAGGACCCTGGGATCATGACCTGAGCCGAAAGCAGAGGCTTTAACCCACTGAGCCACCCAGGCGCCCTCAGCAATTTCAATTCTTGCTACCTCCAAGTTCCACTGATTCTCAGAACTGATGGTTTTAGATGGGAGCACTCAAAAGTGTGTTGTAGTCAGCAATGTAAAAATCACTATTACTCTCCACTTTACCACCAATGGCAAATGAGGAATTAAAACCCAGGAAAGAAAATTTAGCAAACTGCAGAACAAAATACACTCCAGATCTAGCACAGTTAACTACATTAATTTGGAATTCTGATTGGACTTGTTTTTTGGCCAGCAATGCAGCCCCCAGGTCTCTCTCTGGCTGCCAGAGACATGCCTCTGTAAGTTGAGAAAATTAAGCAGCAGCTTAACCCTGCTTCCTGACAACAGCACTGATTACTACATACCACTACAAAGCAAACTTAGAGGGAATGTATAATTATTAAAACCAAGTTTTTTCGGGGCGCCTGGGTGGCTCAGTGGGTTAAGCCGCTGCCTTCGGCTCAGGTCACGATCTCGGGGTCCTGGGATCGAGTCCCGCATCGGGTTCTTTGCTCAGCGGGGAGCCTGCTTCCCTCTCTCCCTCTCCGCCTGCCTCTCTGTCTACTTGTGATCTCTCTCTGTCAAATAAATAAATAAAATCTTAAAAAAAAAAACAAAAAACAAAAAACAAGTTTTTTCTTATGACCAGGCACTTCAAACCTGCGATTCCCTTTGTCTGTGACCCAAGTGGCTTCGCGTTGAGACCTCTTACTAAGCTAAGGTGTTTTAGACTAGAGGGAAGGGGTCTTGGTACCAAAGTACCAAACACAGCAATGCAAAAGACTGGCTTTCCAGAAGCGACAATCTTCTAAAATGCCTAAGTATTGTATCTCAGGATAAGCAGAGAGCATTGAGACATCTGCGGATGTGAAACATAATGCACGTAACGGTAGAAATGATCACTGAAGGTTATCAACTAGCCTACCATCTTACTAAATTTCAGAGAAACCAGTAACTTAGTAACACCAGATCTAACAAAATTAAAATTAACGTTGACACTGGAAAAGGAAGCTTCAGCCCAGGCCACACAGCGGCATGTTTGGTCGTCTGTAAAGTTTCTGGACCCGCTCCAGACACTGTTTACATCAACACACAAATTCACCAATAGGTTTTTAGAACTACTTTTAGCAATCTGAGTGGTATTTCCCGTGTAGTTTTACGTGGATTTGAAGTCAAGCTCCAACAAGGTCAGATGCGGAAGAGCTTTAACCGTAAAGTGACCTTTTATCAGGAAGTTTAGGACATGCAGAGTGCCTAGCTATTTTCCCACACCAGTTTTATGGAGTACATCTCGACACAGGGCTAACATCTTTTACTGGTCGTCTGATGTTTCTAACGAAGAGCAAAGTAAGAGAATTTCGACCACGTGATATCATTCAAGGCAACCCAACTGTCAGAATGGGACATGCGCTGACAGTCTGCCTCAAACACCTGAAGTCATCCCAACAGCTGGTGAGTCTGTCAAAAAGCAGAATAAAGAAGAAGAAGGAGGAAAAAAAAAAAAAACCCACCCAAACTCCAAAACCCAGATTCAATATAATATGACTAACTTATTATAGTCCCAAACCCAACTAAAACTCCTTGGATCTGCCTTCAATCAAACCAAACCCCTCTGTTTAAGAGTTTTCCTGGGCACTTCCAAATGTTTCCTGGAACTGGAAAAAAAAAAAAAAAATCCCAGTTATTAAATTTCAATATGACTTAGCTGCAAATTTCACGTCTAGAAACATACCCAAAGGCAATGTTTTTACATGTCGTCCAACATCTATTTCTCTTTTTTTTTATTAGCAAATAAAATATTCTTTGAAAGAACAGGTGGCTCCACCTTCCCCGACTCCCATGTTCCAGTGTCATTAATACTGGGTACACTCCGGCACCCAAACAGCCTTTGTCTGAGCCAGTCCCAAACCAAGGTTTTAAAAGATCACTCTTCACCGAACAAAGATACTTTTCGGATTGAAAACCCAGGAGACCGGACACCTCAGTAGGTACTATTGTGGGGTTATCCTGGGAAAGGAATCCTTTCTGTAAAAGTACACAATGGCCAAGTGTGTCCTTCACCAACAGGAAGATGCTTAGAGCCCACCTCCTGAATTCTGTATAAGGGAACTTGCATTTAAAAAAAAAATCACGCAAAACCCAGCGTGGAAACGAGGGATCTCCATTATATATATTGTCTGTATATGACCAAAGTCAGAACAAGGCTAACTGCGATTCCTTCCCCAGGTCAGAAAGGAGAAACTGAGGAGAAATAAAAGATTTTCTGCCGGGAAGCACGTAGCACCTGTCACTAAGGCACCCTGACCCAAGACACAGCGGAAAAGAAAATCCTACTGTGTGTTTTCCTTTGCTCGGTGCCCCCCTCTCCCGGCGCGAATCGGACCATTCCCGAGCTCCAGCCGCCAAACCCCGGCCTCGCGTGTAAGGGAAGGGAGGCACCCCTCGCCCTCCCGACCTTACCCCGTCCGCTGGCCTCCTAGCGAAGCGGGCCGGGGAGCTGGCAGGGCAGACCGACCGCCGGAGGCTGCGACTCCGACCGCGACCGGAGCGGGCCCGGCGCCGGCCCCCCACACCGCGCTGCAGCAGAGCCCCGCGCGGGCCCTGCCATCCTGGGGGATGGGGATGGGAACCGGAGCCCGTCCTCCCGGGCGCTCGGTGCCACTGCGGCCTGGCCCTGCGGCCGAGGCAGGGCCAAGACGACACGGCGGCCGCGGCGGGACACACGGGGACGACCTGCGCCGCGAGCAAGACGCGGGGGAGCCTAACCGCCGCCGCCCCCTCCCGGAGCGCGCCATTTCCAGGCCCCGGCCCTCCCGACGCCTCTCCCAGGCCTCCGCGGGCCCCGCCGAACCCCCTACCGCCCGCCGCCCCTGGTGAGCGCGGGAAGGTCGCCGCCCCGGGGCCCCCGACTCCGCCCGCCCCCCGCGCCGGGCCGGGGCCCGCGCACGCCCGCCTCACCCTCTGCCGCCGCCGAAGCTGCTGTAGGCCCGATCGTCGTAGGTATCGAAGTCCGCCATTTGCCGTCTCCGCTCCGAGAGGAACCAGGGTGAGCGAGGAAGGACCCCGCAATATAACTCCCCCCGCCCCGCCGCCGGGGCTGTCCGCCGCGCCGCCTGATCGCAAATCGCACGCACGCACGCGCGCGCGCGCGCACGTACGCCGCGCCGCGCCCGGCCTGGGCCGACGGGCCGCTGCTGGCCCGGCGCGCTCTGCGGCCCACGTGGTGCGGCGGCGCGTCCGCGGGGCGCCTGGCCTAGCGCCCCCACCCATTGTTTGCTGGCCCCGGGGCTTCACCCGCAGCCGCCCGCTGTCCCCGCCCCGCCCCGCCCGTGCGCGCCGGCCGGACCCTGCCCCGGGAAGCTCGGGTGGCCGGCTCGGCGCGCTCCCACGGCCCCTCGGGCGGCTGGCCCGGGACCCTGCGCCCGGCGCGCTGCGCTGCCGGCTGCCCCTCAGCGTTCCGTACTCCAGACCCGACAGGCCCCGGAGGCCTGCTCCGCTTGGCCCCACTCCCGCCGCCCTCTTCCTGGGCAGAGGGTCGCCCGCCTACACCAAAGTAAGGGCCGCCTCCTCCAGGGACCCCCCCCCCCTCCCCGCGGCCCCGCCCCCAGGCTGGGCACTTGCTGAGAACGCACGGGGACGGAAGGCCCCGGAGAGGCGAGGATCCGAGCGTGGCAGGCGGTGGGGGTGCAGCTCGGGATCCCGCGTCCGGGGGTCCCCTGGCCGCTTCTGGGCGGGTGGCGGAGAGGAGAGCGGAGGTCGCTGAACCGGCGAGAGCCGGCGCCTCGCGCATCCCGATCTTGCAGAGGTCATCGCGCCCGGAAAGAATTCAACACTGACTTGAATATCATCTAGCCGTAGCGGAGAGTGTGGGAATGCAGCGAGAATTAATTACACCGGCGCTTCCCCGGGTTTCTCGGTGATACATTGTATCTAGACACGATTTAAAAGAACCTCGGGATTGTTGCACTATATGCTCGGTGCTTTTCTACTTAGGCAGTTTTTGCTGCTTTATCCCGATGCTGGGATGGACAGAGCGGCTATGAAGTCTTTTTTTTTTTTTTTTTTTTTTTTTTTTTTTTTTTTTTTTT